GTTCCAAGACACGATGTAAATACTACAATTTGTACTAACATCTGCCTTAATGTTATTTTAGATTGCACTGTCTTTGTGTGACCACATTTAGGTAACTGCTGTTTAGCTATTCTCTGGAACCCAAGACTTCCTTTTGTTTCCATCTGCTATGACTATACAACAAGCAAAAAACAAAGCTGTTACATATAGTATAAGTTTTACACTGGCTCATACTTTTCTGTTCAGAAGAATTTAGAATTTTTTTCTTCTTTTTAGCAATTTCATTCCAAATTGTTTCATGATTCACCCTTCTTCTCCAACCTAGAGATGTTATTTTTCACCTGTACCAAAAGATTTCCCTTTATTCTCCTTATTTTCTGTTTTCAGTTCTCAAAGATTACTTCTGTGACCCAACCTTAGATTAGGTCTTCTCTTAGTTTGATAGAGTACCTTTCTGCTTGTCTCCAGAGAAAACCCAGGTTTTCATTTTGATAACAAAAAAATTCATATAATGCTATAGGCTGTGCCAATATACATTCCTTAGTGAAAGTTAATAGTCTGGAAAAGGTTTAGACATCTGACGTGGGCCACCTAGTGTTTGAAAACGTGGCTACATTAAGAGGCTTGGAAAAAAACACTTTTAACCTTTCAGTTTCTGATATTTGGCTTGTAGAAGCCAGTTCACATGTATAAGCCTGAAGACATCATTGGGGAATTGACTTAAATCTATAGTGAAATGTACTTTTCCTTCTATTATATAGTGCACTACAAGCATACCTTTAAGAGCTGACATCTCTGTGATAGTTGTTACTTGTTTTATAATGAGTGATATGTTGTCTACATACATTTGTATATTACTCCCAAAGTAAAAAAAGTATCATTTGTTAAATTTTTTTGACAAGGATATCAATCCTGAAGCACCCTGTTTGCATAGTCATGTGACCTGCTTGACCTATTTTACTTGTGCAGAATCTGGGTTTCCATTTTGTAAAAAGTACTAAGTTTCTAACCTTCCTCATTGCAAACAGTGACTTCCAAATGTAGACTGCATGCAACACACAGTGAAATCTTCCTGGGTCTGCAGACAGCTTGCTACAATGATTCAGAAATCAGAACTCCTCTACACCCACTAATCTCACTGCGGCTTTAACTCGAAACCCTTTAATATCCTTATGGGGTAGTGGATGACTTTAAAGAGAGCACTGATGGAGGAGCAAATCCCATATGGAGTGGTTCATGGGGGTGCTGCAGGGAACACAGGGAAAAAGGAGAGGGAAAAAGGAAAGGCAAGGTGGGAAAGGAAGAAAAACAAGGTGCAGAAGATATTCTTCCTTTCTGTGTTGTTAAATGTGGCAATAAGATAAACAACATATCGTGATTAATGGTAATCATTTAATGTGTGAAAGGCCATTTATTTTTAATAATTGTTTGTATTGTGGTAGTGCTTAGCAACTCAGTCATAGACTTAGACCACACGTACTGGGTAATTCCTATTGACACTAGCGAGTTCTGCTATAGACGGGAGCAGATATGGCCCTCAATTTATAGCCAGTGAATTATGGTCCCATGGGCTGTAATTAAAAGTGGAACTCTGCCCTATCTACCAAAAGAGTTTGACATCTCTAGTTTCCTACAAATCTACTAGAACAAACAGGACCATATTCTACTCTAGCTACTAGGCACGTAAGTGGATTTAGTTCTTGAAAAGCAGTTGATGCAAAGGTGTGTGGGTCCTCTTCCTCATTCTCACTCATAGGTGCCAACTCTGTGGGTGCTCTGGGTCACAAACACCCACTGAAAAAAATTTAGTGGGTGCTCAGTGCCCATGAGCCATGGCCATTTTGGTTTTACACCGCAGATGTTAAAATAAGTGTTTTACTGGAAGCAGTAATGCATTACTTCAACCCGGCTCTGCAGCGTCTGTAAAGATCAGGTGCTTCAGCAGGGCTTTTTGGCACTTTTAGCTAAAACTTATTCAGTCAGCTATTAGATAAAAGCCCCCCCAAAACCCCAATAAAGCGCCCAATATTTACAGACATTGGGTAAGCTGGGCTGAAGTAACTTGCTGCCTCTGGGCATATGCAGGGTGTTTAAAATAAAGCACCATTTTGAGGCAGGGGGAAGGGAGAGAAGGGGGGCAGGCAGGAGGGGTATGTCTGAAAGCACCCACCAGCAAAAACGAAAGTCAGTGCCTATGTTCGCACTGTTTTATGATTCAGTCTTAACAGTAAGATGATGGCTTGTTACAAAAGGATATGCATCAATGGATTTTCAATTACTTCAGGCCTAATAGGCAGAACAGAATCTGGCCCATAGCATACAGATTCTACATTACGATTTTAGAGAGTTGCTTTTTTTTTTTTTTAGCAGAGCAACGTAGTTAGATTTTATTCAAGCAGTCTGAGATTTTGGAGAAAAAAATAGGATACACTATTGTACAGCAGGTGTGCAGTGCCACCTTATTTATCTAAACCTACTGAAGGAAGGGGAAAAATGCTAAAGTCTGATGACAGATCCTTCTCATGCAATTTATCACAAAAGGATGCTACTGACAAGCTGTTAAATAGAAGAATTATATATGTGATTTCAAAAGAGTGAAGTCACGGTTTCTAAAGGATTGCCATTTTTGTGCTGTCAGCTGTAAAAATGTCATATGGAACTTTTACTAAGTGTGTTAGAAATTGATCAGTGAACTTTTGCTTCTTATCCATCAGTATGTATGTTGCAGCAGAACTAGAGCTGGTATAAACTGTTACAGTTCCACATATCACTAGATTTATGACTATACCAAGTAAGGGGATACCTGATTATCTTCACTATTGTTGGATAACATTATTTGATTTGTGCTGCCTTTAGTCCATTTTAGTGTGTGAAATTTAGCTTAGCCTGACTTGAATATAGTTGTTTAGTATCTCTCTGTTATTGGAACTACTTATTGTGGCATTCTTTATTAGTAAACAGAGTGGAACTAGTGAATGAAATGGTGCACTATAAAGGTATGTGACAGAACTAGATAAAGACCAAAAATATGTAAAATCTTAGGGAAAAAAGAAATAAATAATGTATTTCCCCTGTCATGCAGCGGATAGGGCAGGGTGGCTCTTTAAGAGACTAAGCTTTAACAAGAAGGAAGACCTTTTGTAGGAAACAACGTGTCATGAAGTAGGTTATCTGAAGGACACTCAGCAAGCCTTAGGAAGTTGGTCAAGACTTCAGCTAAGGATCTTAGAAAGGTTTTTTTAGGAGGAGTGCTCATAGCCTCCTTGCCTTCCTGGGGTGCTCTTCACAGCCATACAGTAAACTCTGCTTTGGCCATTTAGGGCAGGATGAATTGTCAGCTTTCAGTGCAAATAATAAGCTGTTAGTAACTAGCAGTCTTATGGAAAATTGAGGGTGGCCCTCACTGAAACCCTAAAGATGACCTAAGACTAAATGAGTGTTAAAATAGTCCTTAATTAATCTGCAATGGTAAATTGATAACTGTGTCCCTAATGACCTTCAGATACATAGGTGGCAGGTGTGGGCTCCAGTGAGCCTCCTAAGACATGCTGGAGGACTCTTCCTACCATCAACTAAGAAAATGTGAATGGGTATGTCTGCACCACAACCCCCGCACTCCCAGGGAGCATTGCTCTTGAGCACATCCTGTCTGCCAGCTCCCATTTGCACACACCAAGCTCAGAAATAAGACAGTGAAGCTGTGTTGTAGGCATAGCATGTCATCACACCAGAGGCACACCAGAGGATTAAAAAGCAGAGGTAGGAGTGCCCTCAGAGCAGCTTCCTCACCTCATTTCCGGGGTGGGTGGGACATGCTCAAAAGCAGCAAACTCCAGGAACACTGAGGAAGTGAAGATGTTGCACCCTGGATTTATTTTTGTAGGAATACTGTGTGACTGCTTTCCTGTTTGATTTTGTGGTGCTGCCTGTTGAATGGAGTTATGTCAAAGGGGGTCATAAAGGGATTGTTTTCCAGCAGGAAAGATAGAACAATGACATGGGTAAATCAGCTTCCAGTACACAGCTTCAAGGGGCTCTATCCAGGCTAGAAAGGCTAAACCTGGGATTAAAGACCTAAAATCTAGACAAGGTTCCTTTTAAGTGAGCTAGAGATGAGTGGTTTGCCAGAGGCTACAGATTCCTCCCTCCTTTCAATTGAGGAGAAGACTGGACCCAAATGAGCTACAACTCAGGGAGGCTAACTTAAGGGTTTGTGTGTGAAGAAGCATGCATTTGTGCATGTCCTATACCTTGAGGTGAGTGCTTTGTCTAAAACAGTGGTTTTCAAGCTGTGGTCCGACTGAATTAGTCACAGTTGATTTCGGGGGCTGGAACCTGGGTCCTGGTCTGACCAGGAGTGAACTGTGGACTTGCATCGTAGGACGAGGCCTGCCCACTGTAGGGGTACACTATAAGACCACCAGGTGCAGCTAGCCTTTTAATTGTGACACTTCTTTCCTGATGATATCAGGCAGTGCACAGG